TGAAGGTTTGTGAAAATGGAGTTATCTGTTTTTGCAAATGAACTCTTCATATGTAACTATACTGTTTCGTAGCAACAACAGCATGAAACCAGCTGTTAATTTAATTAATAAAATCTGTTGCTGGTAGTGACCCCTCCTTGCACAGGTCCATAGTAGTCACAGCTTAATTGACATTATTGCATCCATTATTTTTTCAGACCTGTCCAGGCAAATATTGACAGGCATCTTTTATTTACTCAACATGATTGCTTTGGAGCATTAAGCCTTTTACATTAACTGCTCTGTAATTGTTGATTTGAGATATAGCAGATTTTTTGTATGATAGCATTTCACTAGCTAGCTTTTGTTAACTTGGTTAGCATGTAGGAGGAATTAAGAAAAATAGGACCCTGGATTACAAGATGGTGCCTCATTTACTAAATTTAAAGTTGTTTTCCAAGCTTCATCTACAAGTTACAATGATTTTCTGCTTGCTTCTTTAATTTTGAGCCTGTAAAATCTGTACATTAGCATCTTTTTCAGTTAATCTTGCAGATATCACGCACAACCGAGATTCCCACCAGCTGAGCCAGCTCATTTCCTATTGGCTCACTACAGACAGGACTGAGACAAAATAAAACAATAATACAACTTTTCTAATCTATTATTCGAACAAGTGGACCAATATTTGCTGATAAATAGGAGTCATCTTGCAGAGTTTGCAATGCTCAGAAACATTTATTCACCCCTTTACAGCCACTCTTCTTTTGTGTGGAGAAAAATTGTGGTTTGGCCTTTACACAACAATCTCTGCACCCCTCAGTGGTGTTTCTGGGAGCTTCAGTTCTGAACTACTGAGTGAAGCTATCTGATGTAACACTTACTAAATATTAAGTAAAGAGATGTGACTGTGGTTGTGTGGCAGATGACCACTTGTGCAAAAGTGCGATTGATTTTGTACACTGTCAAAATAGAATAGAATAGCAGTTGCATATTTTTGCAGTATTTATCTTCAAAAACAAACAGTTCACACAATATTAAAATGTATTACATTTTTACTTGATATGTAGTAGCAAGCAGTTGCGTATTTATAAATTCACCGTGCAAGGACCAACATTATTTTTCATCTGGAGTTGTGTCTCTGGCCTTCTGACACATACAAGTCCAATATTCACTCTCTCCTTTACTTCTGCTTTGTTTCAACCAGCTTGTGAGCAAAATATCCAACTTTTTAGTTACTAAATGCCCAGCTTATTCACAAACTTGGTATTGTATTAGTTTAAGCACATAACTATAAATCGAGATAAACACAAGTGAGGCAAATATCTGAAAACTTATTCAGCCAGGTGGCAAACCAGGCCTGCTAATGGGTTAAAAGAGTAGCCCTCACAGCAGCCTATATGTACGTGCCTATATTTTATTTATTACACCGGCCATGTGTCTCTCCTCTGACATCTGGGCTGCAGCCGGAGCTGGGAGCACTTCCTCTCTCATTACTTTTACAGACTGCAAGGAAGCTTCAGTATCCATGGTTCTCTGTATTTCTCCACTTTCAATTATTTTATCTGTAGATACAAAATATTATCAACTATATTTACATACATACATCTATACATACCTATTTTGCTACCATAAACTTTGTTAGTCTTTGTTTCCCCTTCCATTTTCAATTTTTCCCGATAGTTACTACTCATAATATGATTGTGGAGTATCATTTTTCAAGCCAATGAAACTCACCCGATGTACTTGATTGTCCCTTGTGTATGCATAGTACAAGTAGAAGAAGAAATAGAGTCAGTCATCTTAGGTGGTGGCATCTTGATCATGCATGACTCCTCTATAGATCCTTCCTGTATGACTCATCTTGCCATAGTGTGTGCCGTCCTATGTAGTATATGTAATTTAATCTGTTTTCATACAAAAAGATGCATCAACAGAAATCTATATTATGCTTCCTGCGTGGCTGTTTTAATGTTGCTCTTTTTAAAAACATATTATTAAGTATATCTCAAAGTGTTCAGAGATGACTGTTTTTGTGATATGTCTAATATATTGAGGTTTTGAACACATCATCATATTCACTCTTACTCTGTAATCTGTATTTGTGATCATAACCAAACTGCTGTCTCAGCCTCAGCTACAACAAGAGCATTTGGAACATGTAGTTGGTTTACCAAACAAGATGCTAAGCTAAACAGTTTTAAGCACCTCTCTCTGACATAATAAGCCAGGTAAGAATCCATTTTCTGTGCTTGTTCACAGAGTGTAAGCGGTTTAGGCATCTCATCCACCAGGCCCCATCAGCTTCTCCTCCTCCCACATCCACATCTTCCTGTCTGCTTTCCCAGACAGCCTTGTTAACATGTCTACCGCTCTCTGAGCTTCTGCCAGTACGGAAATAATAAACAGATTATTTCTTCAAGTCCACTTAACATCAGTCATTGTTTTGCTTCACACTGCACTCTCAGTGGTGGACTTTCGTGACTCTCATTAAGGAAATTACTCTCTCCAAGGTCTACTCTGCACTCTTCACTTTAAATTTTACTGAACCTGTTACAGATTCCAGGAGGAGTTATTGGAGTCTTGTGGGAAAACAGAAAACAACACTTGGCTGCTGAATAACTTTGGGTCTTTCTAGTTTACATGACAAAGTCTTTAGTCTGAGTAATTATCCTTGGGAATAGCTTCATGTGGATTGTGCAGAACTGCAGGTAAATGAGGCTTCTTAGTTAACACACAAACTCCACTTTTAATTAATATGTAAGAGGCACATTTTAATCACCAGGGTTCCTACACATTGTGACATCCAGACATGGACAACCTTGAGTTTTTTACACATGCCTTCCAGTCTTGAAAATCTCCTGGAAGTTGAGAAAAATAGTGAAGTGTCCTGAAAACCAATTACATCTTCCTCCTTTGCTGAGAGCAAACTGTGAGATCTCTACAACAGCTGGCTGCTGAAATATGTGCACACTAGACTAGATTAAGTTAGAAAGGCAGGGTGACAGCTTACAGGCTGTCACACTGTTAACACACTACAAAGCGGTGGGCTTTTGAACGCACCCTTAATCATGTCAGGTTGGTGAAGACAGGTTGCACTTCCTGAACAAAAAGAATCTGATAAAATCACTGCTGAAAGCCACGACACTTAATGCATAAGTCAAAAATAGGAAAGGCAAAAACAGACTGAATTTGACATTGACATTTGATCTGAGGAATTTGTGTAACCAGGAAACTGTCTGACTCACTTTCTTTGGTAGCAAAGCTACTTTGTACTACGGCATTGTCTGATTTAATGAAGGCGTAATTTTAATTGTTCACTTTTGTGAACATGTATAAACATTTACAGGAAACAGGATGTATAACATTGCCATGGATATAGTGAACTACACTGTGGACAGCTAACCTATGGCAGCAACATTAGCTTTGTGTTACCTTTTAGAAAATGAAGTTTACTGAATTACTTGTTAGCAATTCATCTTTGCTCTGTGCAAATGGATGCACTGACAACTGTCAATGAATTACTTTGATACCAAAGGAATCTTAAAAGGGAAGAATTCTCAGGTAAGTTCTGCAGCTTTTCCAGTCCTGTCCCAGAAGGGTGACAAATTAAAGGGAAAAATACTGACTGTTTGATATCTACAATGAAGTGATCCAGTAGCTCTGTTAAAAAATGGGGGCATTTTGCTTGTTTTCTATCCTATTCCCATCCATAGGGCAGACCAAGGGTCACTGAATGGTTTGATGACTATGAAAATGACGTCAGTCCATTGCAATGTAATTAGAAGTCACTGGAACACAACCCAGTTTTGGAGATTTTGGAACGACATGTTGAACAGTGCTCCCCACTACCATCACCAAAGCACCGAATGAGGGAATATCTTTTGGAAGAAGAGTGTGCATCTCTCCAACACAGTTTCAGAAGCATGTAGAATGATTAAAAGTGCGTTTAAGCTGCTCTGGTGACACATGGTGGCTCAACACCTGTGTCACCCAACTGCATGTAAATGTGCTGTGCTTTGTTGTTTTAGTCATAGTTATATATTTTTTCACACTTTGGCTATAATTACACAACTGTTATTACGAGCCAATGTATAATGATGCAGCAGGTATCGTAAAGTCTTATGACTTGTCTGATAATGGTCCAGTTTTTCAGGTTTTTAAAACATCAAAGTAATCCTGTGATAACTGTCAGTACAACAATAATTCATAGCTTTGGAAAGCTGCGAACAGTTTCCACAAATGGCTTGTTTCATATCATACTGCACTCCACTGTGTTTTATTCTCTTCTGTTGTATCCTGTTCATTCATGTGGATGTCTTAAAGCCATTTTTATGATATTGTGTACTTGAGGATTGCACTGAACCTGTTTGGGTTTGTCACACTGTGTTGTGGAGTTGATCCCCATATTAACTCAGTCAGGATGCTTTGGTGAGTAAATGAGGCCATCTTGTGGTTAGAAAGAGAACATGTTAATGGATTTTAGCTTCACTATTTTGCCTTCTTTCCTATGCTGACCTCTTATTTTACAACTCGTCTTTCATAGTTTCATATTCAAAACAATTATCATAAACACCATTAATCTAATTTGTACTTATCTGTCATTTCTTCTTGCAGGACATTTGTTTAAACAGAGAAAAGGGAAGCAGAAGTCAACAAAAGAGGCACTGTTAGTTTACCAGTGAGAGAACATACCTTTGACATTCATTCACATAACAACATAATCACAAATTCTATGTTTTCTCTCCAGTAACGATACCAAAGTGGGGTGGCTGCAATTCTTTAAAAAGTTGCTGAAAAAAAACAAATGTACCAAAGAACAGTTTTTAACCTTTTCAGCCCATGTTTTTGTCATTTTAAGATATTTTTTGAAAGTTGACTTTGATATTTAATATTCAGTATTTGCTTCTTTTGACATACACTTACAAGATGAGAGTGGTTCACACTCAGTTCAACTCATGGCTCCACCTACACTGACGAGCCCCATGTGATCGAGTGGCAGGGCGAGGCTCTGGGTGCACTTGTTTCCGAGGGTTCAACTGCTACACAGGACCAGGAGGCCAAGGCTTGAGCGGAGGGAGAGGCATAGTGTGCCTAGAGCCATGGACTACCAACAGAAGCTGGCTGAAAAGCTGACCATCCTCAATGAGAGAGGGAATGGGGTTTTGATACGAATGAACTACATTAAGAAGGTGAGGGAGAATAGAAAGATTAAAGAGACAACTGGTGTGTGCAGTAGAGACAAGAAATGAGGAACTTCTTCTTTCTCATGTTTTGGTTATTTTATCAGAAATATGTGCGTGCATCCGATTATTGCACAAAACAAAAATACATCTAAGAGTAATTTTATCACTATATACATGTTCACTGTATAACAGTTAACTACATTTTCTGTTATTTAAATTTATTTGTATTCAGTTTCCACGGAGCAGTTGAAAAGGAGCGATATGATTAATTGTACAGATAAAATCTGCTTTTACATATACAATAGAAAGAATAATGATGTATAAAGCAGAACATGTCAACCTACTTTACATTTGAAAAGCACGGAAGTACAACAGCGTCCTCGAAGGATACATACCAGCCGTCAGGACACAGTAATGCACAATTTCTTAAAGTCAAAAGACTCTTCAGTAGGTGTAACTTAAACTGCAGTAACAAGATAATGTGAAATAAACTGTGCTATTTGTTCCGTGGTTTGTGTGTATACTCACTGCACTTTATGAGCAGTACAGTCTCCCAACTGCAACTAAGCTTTTTTATTCAAAGAGGAAGTGCAATCAGGAAGTCAGCCTGTGCTGTCAGTAAAGATTTCAGTTATTTTAAACTGAAAGCTGTGAAACTCACACATAAGAACAGATGCCCAGTGAAAATACACTCAACCAGAAGAGGTCTAAGGCCAACAGTCTACTTTTCTATTATATGTAATTTAGCAACCAGAAACAGATCTGCTACAAAATATGTCCATGCACGACGTCTGCCCCAAGTTTAATGATTTAGTTTTGAATTATTTTTATTTATTCTACTGACAGTCAAACAAATGAACACAACTGTCTTGGCAGAGCTAACAATTCAGGGAAAGTAATTGTTTAAGCAATACCTTGGGACAGTTGCAGGGTTTGGAGCTCAGCTACTATTAAAAAAATAATCATGTGAAAGTATGTTTGGTTCCTGACAACCCAGACATTTCCAGATGTAGTGCTTAGGCATAGGCATGTGTATATACTAACCTTATGTATGTACCTATCAGGAGAAGAAATTAATGAACAGTCTTCATTTGAGCTATTTTAAAACCTTGCCCAGTGAAGTTTTCTGGAGCATGCATTTTTAAAGTTTCTGCACTCAGACATGACACAGTCTCCTTCAGTTTAAAATCCAAGAATCACATCCTCACGTAATGTATCATCTCACTTCTGTTTCAGTTATGTGCAGACCCCAAACTGCGACCTTCTGTCCTGACAGACAAAGCCATGGAACCTGCCATCAAATATATCAACAAGAAATTCCCCAACATTGACTTCAGAGGAAACATTGTCAGTATGAAGCAACATATTTTTCTCAGCTTATGTCCTCATTTTTCCTGTTTTGTTTGCTTGTGATCATGAAGATATTTTTTTTCTTATTAGAATGTGATCTAATGAAAACATCATGATGTTGTGTTTTTCTGTTCTGACAAAATGTTATTTTATGAAAACAAAATTCTGCTATCTTGACATCATAAAATAGAACTTTTGAGAACAAAGTGTTGACATCTGCATCAAAAGAAATATTCAAGAAATCTGTGATGTGCAAAGATGTCACAGTTACAGGGTTTTTATTTTTGCATCATATTATCCAAGTGTCTGCTATTTGGTTCATTTTCTGTTTATATATTTGTTCATTGTAATGAATGCATTTGCACAGATTATTTGTTTTAATTGAGTATAAAAGAGAGATAATCAAGTCAACCAATGGAGAAGAAATATTTTCAAGTTGCTTTTGACTATTCTTGCCGTGTGTCACCTCACACCTGACCACTAATGTTTTCATTTTTCTCCATTACAGCAAAATCTGACAGGCATTCAGCGACAGAAATCAGAAGTGCTTGCAGCTACAAGCAGCTACTACGACTCTTTCATGGATGTCATAGAGTTCAGGGTGATTTTTGTTTGATTTATTTCTTTTTTTGCTTCTTATCTCTCTCCCTCTAGTTTTTAAAAGTCAAATTTTGATTTCTTTTCTGACATGATATAGGAATTACCTTGAGCATGTTGCCTAAGCAAAACATTAGACAATTAACAAAAAAGTATTTAAATTAGAACAATGAAAAATAGCTGTATGTCATTCTTCAGATATTAAATACAAATTTGAAAATCAGGAACAGTGGTGGTGCACGCTCTCTTTCTTGTTTTTTTGTGCACCCTTTATTTGAGACTTTTTGTTACAATAGAATACATTTACATATAGAGTGGTTTATTCTAAGACAAGAAAAAAACTGATTATATTCCAGATATCAAGGACACTTACTGTACCTCAATGTGGCTTGTTGCAGTTTTTACCACCTTCTTCACATTTGCATATTTCTGTGATGGAGGTCGCAGCCAAGCCAAAGGCATCGCTGGTATTTGTAAGATTGCAAAAAAACTCAATCGTGATGCTATGGGAATATACAAATGGTTAATGGTTATTAAGCTACCGGTTTCTATAAAAATGATAATGTGCTTTGGAAATTTCATTGGAGGCCTGACATTATGCAGATATTGCCTATTTACTGTGCAGGTCTTTGTCTGTTTTCTAATCTAACTGCTTTCTGTTCTTCCCTCAGGACCACGTTTATGAGTTGCTGAACACCATCGATGCCTGTCAGTGCTTCTTTGATATTGTAAGTATTTGCTGGGAGGCTTGTAATTGTTTTGGTCATGCATACAACATCTGCTCATAATCTGAGAAGCTGTCAGTCTTTTTTCTGCAACTGACTATACTGAAATTTGATTTCAGTCAGTCAACTTTGACTTCACCAAAAGCTACCTGGATCTGATCATCACCTACACATCAGTTATCATAACGCTCTCTCGCATCGATGACAAGAAGACGCTGGTGGGCATGTTCAACTGTGCCCATGAGATGACCAATGGGAGCAGGTAAGAAACTGCTGAAAGGTTGTTACAGTGATGTCACTTTTAGAGTACAGTGTAATCTGATGGATGGGTGTGTTTTCCATTTACTGACTGCTGGAAATCACAACATTCCAGCTTTGAGTGCTTTAACTGATAAAAGTAAACGTTGACTATGACTATTTTCCCCTTCATCATAATTATTGGGGTTTTAGGTCATCATCAGCCCACCACTAACTTTTGTGCCAAGTGGTATTTTGGCATTTTGTGTCCATCCATTCTGTAGGATGTTCATGTCCACCTTCCAAAATAGCATGAAGCTAATCTAATAAATGATTACACTTGACAATAAATTCACCTTTGACCAGCACACTACGGACATCCACAAAAGAAGTCATCAGAGACTGTCAGCCATCCATAAACTGAAAGGACTTTATGTTGCCCCCCATCTCCTTCTGTTGTTGTATCAAAACATCATCCAGTCCATCCTCCTGTATTGGTCCGCCTGCTTCTCCAACATGCTCACTGCTACAAACAAACCAAACTCATACGCATAACCACCGTAGCCTCCAAAATAATCGGTCTTCCCACACCAAACCTCACAGAATTAAACAACAGGGCCATTACACGAATGTCTGGACAAAGTGAAAACCACATTTACATGTGAACAGTGTTTTTGTAAAATGTGTCCTTTTAATGTAAATCAAGTGGAATGGTGCTGTGGAAAAGAATGTCTAAGTCTACATTTAAAACACGGGCATGAAACACAAACACATACATTTTATAATAATAACAATAATATCTGCACTTGTACAGCAGTGTAAAGATCACATACAATGTTAAAGAAAGAAATACAAAATGAAAAGAGAATGTTTGAAATTTAAGATATGAAAGAAGCCATTTACTCAGCCTGCCTTATTTGTTCAGGCCACAGTATCTTACACTTGGTATGCAAATCAAACTTGAGAAAGACCACACATAGCGAACCCCCTGAGAGGAGGGCCTCAGCTCTGTATTATTTCTGTCACCACAAAGTTAAGCTGCACAAATTGATTCAGTTTCTTAAATTCTAAATTTATACCCTCAATAAAATCCCTGTAGGTAGATGAGTGTATTTATGTACCGCATCATTATTAGGATGTCCTGCTTCTTTTCTCCTTATTGTGGCTCATCTGTCTAATTGCATGCTGCAATGAATCCTGCAGTGACCCCTCCTACCCACGACTTGGCCAGATGTTTATGGAGTACGATCATCCCTGGAAGAAGCTCACTGAGGAGTTTGGCCCCCATACAAGGGTAAATGAAGCTGAGAGAAAATGCTTACTTGCTTATCATTTGCTGTTTATATATAAAAGGAAAACAAACATTTTATGATTTGCCTAATAGTAATTCAAAGCAGACTGCTGGTAAATATCTACAAAAATATGATAATGAAATATAAAACACAATGTTTTGATGCCTTTATTTATCGAAACACAGAACATTCAGACCAGTTATAGACACTTCTGTTCTGTCATGTTAATGTCTTAACGAACAGTTCCATCTTTTATTTCTTTATTTTTAAGGTTGTTAAAATGTATTTTATTCCAGTCTGTCTGGCAGTTGTGTATATGTATATTGTATGGTATTATTCACAATAGCATATTGTTGCAGCTCATTATAAAAACTGAATCATGTTTTCTTTTATTGAGCTATTGCTGTGAATTTCATGCCTGCACCACTCCATTAAATGAACATATTTCATATGAATCTTTCCAAAACTGACATATTAAGGTATCTTTGGAATCTCCACTGTGCGTTTATGTAATCTTGAGCTGCACAGCAGGAGTTTGCATCAGGTCACTAATTGCTAAGAGGATTTAAACGCTGACAGTTAAAAAAGGTTTGCTTGTGGTTTATCATGAAATATGTCAGTGTGTGCTTTAAACCACAAACTAAAATTTTTGAGTGTTGGATTTGGGTTTTGAAATGCTGCCATCTCTCAGTATCCGTGTCTTTTGCCATTTTTAATTTTTATTTTCCTTCTCTCTCTCTGCATCTTCCCCACTCTCTGTCCTCTCCTCAGTCTGTGACAACAGCATTGCTTTCACTGAGGCTGGTCTACCCACGTAGGAATCTGCCAGCAGAGCAGTGGCGGAGCGCCCAGCTCCTCAGCCTGCTCGTTGCTCCAGCTGCCATGCTGGATCCAGCCTGCTGTGACACTGTGAGTCTGTCCTCTCCTCTGGTGTTTGTCTGTGAGAGAGGGAGAAAGGGGGTAATAGAAATGGGAGAAGGTGTCACAGCCAAGATGCAATAACAGCAAATGTCTTATTCTATAGGTCAAATACATTAGAACGTGAGGAGCTCTGTGTCCTATTTTCTTTCTCCTCCCAATAACATGGCTTCATACTCACAATGATAATCTATCATTTCAACATAAATCACCTTTTAACTTCTTCTCTGCATCCATCTAACAAGAGGATATTTGAAAACAAAAGGCACTCACTTATTTACCTACATCAACACATTTTGGGAGGACAGTCAATTATTCTTTAAAAAAGAAAATCAATTAGTGCACAGAGTAATGCACACAAGAAACACTGAGTTTCCTTTGCAACTGGAATCAGACTACAGTACTGCAGTACAGAAAAGGAAGACATGACAGCATGATACGATATACCGTCGCCCCCTAAAAAAATCTTTTATCATAAGATTGCTGCAGTAAACGTGTCTGTATTGGCAGTTAATACACTTGTTCTCCACCACAGATGGCATGTGAATATCTGTCTATGGAGGTGATGGAGCGATGGATCATTAGTAAGTGTTTCTCATTCTGACAGGATGTTAACATTTGCAATTTGCATATCAGTGCCAGCAGAAGAACACTCAGACAGCTCGCACATATGACGAGACATAAGTAAACACGACTACAACTCCAAATGAAAGGATCTCGCTTCAGAAACATTTTTAGTTAACATTTTTCATAAATGACAATTGACTAACAGTAACTATTTTGATTTTGGTAATGCTCATACTCATCTTGAAACAAAAGAAAGAACAAAAAAGTTTTGTGTTGATATTGTTTTTAGGCAATCACGTCTCAAGAACAGTGTTTTTATTTACCTTAAAGAAAAAGAGAGAAACAAAACAAAGCCTTTACCCAATTATTGATGATGTAAACACAAAAAACAGTAGGATGCCTACAGTTCTTTTGACTGTTTCGTGATTATTGTCAACCTTCTTCCTTGTAGTTGGCTTCCTGTTGTGCCACAGCAGCCTGAATTCGAACCAGACCTCGCAGGATCTGTGGAAGATGGCTCTGCGGAACAACATCTACCTCACCCTCACCAGAGATGAAGTCCTCAACATACATAAGGTCTCTGAGGACCTCTTTGACAGTATCAAAGGGTATGCAATCTGTGCTGCTATGCTGTGGACAATGGTAGATGACTAAATCTTAAAAAAAAAAAACAAATAACATACAGTGGGTATAAGATAATAGACCCTCGTATTTCAAACAGGTACCAATATGAACTGATTTAAATATGTATCTTAGATGCTGTACTCATATCCCTGCTGGGGATTAAAGAGTCTTGAACTATAGCTTAACTCTCATCTGGTTGTTTTAATTACTCATGGACTAAGCCTGCACTGCCAATTTTAACTGCCATATTTTGCAAGTACCTAATAATTTATGTATGAGTTTTAGGAGGAATTATTTTTCATGAGATTACATATTGGTAGTAGCTAATGCCATATGACTTCAGTGAGTAATACACAGTTTATTAGGTCATTTTTATATAGCCACATTATAGCAACTGTTGAGGTAAAGTTTTATTTATTTATTTATTTTATTTTTTAAATCTAATTCTTTCTAAAATTGCTGGATATACATTCAATTTATTCAATTTCAAAATCACAATTGATAAATGTCTTGATGCATTTATGTTAGTAGCTAGAGGAGGGCTTGGAATACAGATAGACCAAAGTCAGGATGAAAGGAAACAAAGCCAAAGAGCAATCACAGTGAGTAGTTCAGTTACAGTATTGACCACAGTGCATGAGTGCAGTATTTCTTCACAAAATTGTTTTTTCAATCTATTGAAAAGTGAGACTACTGCGAGACTACTGTCAAGAAGAAAACACTGGCAAATTCCTGATCACTGGCATGAATACATCTATGCATACGCTTCAGAGTGCATCTGGTTCATTCTGTTTTCTTTTTTTAAATCAGATATAAACCGCGAATTGCAGATATCAAGGAATGCCGTGAGCATGCTTTAGTCAACAGGTGAGCCTGGAAGGAAAACAACAAATGTTTTTTCCACTTTTGTACCATAAATGTACAATAATGTGTATTTACTTTGGAACGACCTGTGAGAACCCAATGTTTTTAATGTTACTACCAGTGGAGCTATGCACAGAGAGAGGAGGCAGTTTCTGAGAGGCGCTATGAAGGAATTATTTAAAGTTCTGGAGGATGAACCTGGACTCCTGGGACCAAAGGTAGAAGTACAGTAAGGAGCATAATAGTGGTACTTAAGAAATATAAACCATGTCATTACTGCAAGTTATGACTACAATATGAAATTCTGGTCACATATGACTGGTGAAAATTGATGTCTTTGATCCAACTTCCATCCAGCGTATATTTCACAGTAATTTAACTTTCGCCAATCATGGCTGAGACTCTTTCCTAACATTCATCTCCCCTCTGTTCTGTGGACCAATCAAATCGCCAAGGCCCTGTTTGTCTTCATGGCTCTGTCATTTTCCCGTGACGAGGTCCTGTGGCTTGTCAGACACTCTGAGAATATGCCAAAGATAAAGACACCCGAGGACTACATTGACAAGTAGGTCATAGATACATAGGAAGTAAACCACTACTGTGGACTGGTGCAGCAGCTATTATACTAGTGTGCAAAAGTCTGGCATATATCAGTTGAATTTCAATCACACAGAGAACATCAGCAGTACGGTAAATGAGGCATAACAATTACAAACTGCCTTGTATTCATTTGATAGAAGTCAGAGAAGCAGAAGTGCCACTTTAGAAGTTCTCTCTCCCTCCAATTCCACACTGCAGCAGTTGTATACAGTAGTTTTTAGCAGCGTATTTGTTTATGCAGATAAGATTTTGCAGTGGATTCAACATTTTAGTCCTGCAAAGAAATAATTAATCGTGATAAATGCTCTGGTGTTGACTGGTTTCTTTTTTTCTCCAGTCAGATGGCTGAATTGCTGTTCCACATGGAGAAATTAAGGGGTCTAATGAGAAAGTACATCCACATAGTCCAGCGCTACTATGTTCAGTACCTGGCTCAGTTCGATGCCTTGGTTCTCAATGACACCATACAGGTACCTGTAGAAAACAAGTCTGTATGTACGCATGAATTGTCGAAAATGTACAAGAGTGTTGGCGTAATTTTAAATTCTGTGTGGCAGGAAAAAAAACAAAAAACAATGTTGATTGCATCTGTTATTTACAATCTCTTTTACATCAACATTAACAAAACAGAAACTTTCTTCATTATAGAACATGTATGTGTGTCCAGAGGAGGAGTCAGTCCTCATGAGCTCATTCGTCTCAACCTTGTCTGCTCTTTCAATCAAACAAGGTAATCACAAGGAACTGCTGAGCATCATCTATACTCAAAAATGATCATCACAAAACAGGCCTTAATAATAATACATGGATTTTTCTCTGCAGTGGACAATAAAGAGGAGTTTGATTTTAGAGCAGTTAGACTCGACTGGCTAAGATTACAGGTATGCCAGTATGTTGTGTAGCTTCATGTTCAATTGTGAGTGTAAGATTGAGAAATGTGTGGCACATATGACATATTTGTTCTTCCTTTGTTTTAGGCCTACACAAGTGTGAATAAGGCCCCTCTCCCTCTAAAAGACTATCCTGACTTGGCAAAAGTGATGAACATGATCCAGTTTCACACCAAGGTGATCGACAGCATGGAAGAGCTGCTGCAGGAGACGTCTGATGTGTCCATCCTCTGGTCAGTCTTCTTCTCTTCTCTTCTCTTCTCTTCTCTTCTCTTCTCTTCTCTTCTCTTCTCTTCTCTTCTCTTCTCTTCTCTTCTCTTTGATAACTGCTTATTCTCTGTTTCTCTAGTTTCTACCCTCGTGTTTTTGAGAAGATGTTTACCCAGAGCAGTGAGGATATGACCATGAAGCGTTACCTCATGGCCTTCCCGTCAGTCTGCTCTCACTTCGGTCACTGTGGACACCCTCTCTGCCCAGAAGAGGTCAGTGTTCAATCATCTGCTGAAGAACAGTAGTTATAAGTTTGATGTCTAACTCGCACACTGCATGATGGATCATGACAGGTGTTTCATACAGTCTACATCGACGACAACGTTTTTCTGTTAATACAGAAATAGAGATATTCCTTTGTTGATCTTACTTAAGATGAGGGTACGTGATCTGTATGTGCTTGATTACACCTTTTGCCAGCTTAGCCTCAAGACCAGAATAATTTTAAACAGGTCCTATTTTCAACAGATTGATAATCAGTGTGCAAACTACTGTGTAGTATTTTCTGCATGCTTACCTGTGCATTCAGTGTGTCAACCTGTGTGCACAGTCGCTCTCTACTCTTGTTGTGTTTTGTGTGTCGAGATGGAGGCAATGGAGAAGAGGAGTCTGCGCCTGTGTGTCACCTTCCTGGAGCAGATAGCCAAGCAGACCAGCAATGTTGTGTTAGAGATATGTGCTGAGCAGCGCAACCTCCATGATCAGGTGGAGTCTGACTCTATTTCAGATTTGAAAAAACAAATTATCTAGCAGAGATTGATTCTGTACTAGTTCATATCCAAATATAATCACACTAGCTGCAGCTTGGCATCATTCTATTTAGCTGGAGGCAGTGAGCACACTTGGGAATTTAAATACAACGATATAACAGGTCAAACTGTGTATATGGCGAAAGCTTACTTTTCAACGGAGTTCCAGCAATGTGACCAAAAATTGTACTTGTTTACATTTAAAGAGGATATCTAATGCTTGCTTGCCTTGATGTAATTCTTCCACTCTTTCTCTCTTTGCTTCTTTCCCCCTTTTTCTCTCTTTCTTTGCATCCAATTTTCCATGTGATAACCCTTTAGCTGCTGCCCAAGCACTGTGCTGAGAACATCAGTGCGGCTCGGTATAGAAAGCAGAAGAAACCCATGCCAAAAAAAGGGGAGGTCCAGAAAGAGAAGCCAGGCGCTGAGAGCCGAAGGAAAGACCGGACAGTCGCCACCAAGTCAGCTTTCTTTTTGTTTCCTCTGTTTATTCCCATCATGTCCTCTATTTAGCTCATACTGTCTGAACCTTTGATCATTATACCGAATTGGCAGGAGTTTAGAGGAAATCTGAGTGCAACTGATAGACTCCAGATTTCTGCAGATGTGCAGCATTATCAACAAGTCAAATCAAATAGTTGCTGAATAAACACTTGGCAGTGTTGGATTCTAATTCTGCAGACTAGGTTCAAAATCACGTCTGCTGACATTTTAAAATTATTTTCCTCAACTAATGACGCATTTCTTGCCGTAAATTACTCAGAAGACAGGATAAAAATGCTCTTGTCTACAAAGCATCTTTTTTTTTTTTTTTTAACTTTATTACCTGTTGAGTTGAAGTGTTGACTAGTACTGAATCAAACCAGTAAAAGTTAGAAACAAAACACCTCAGCGCATTAAAGAGAAGCACAGAGCAGTTTTACAGGCAACACATTTTATTTAGGTGTTTTCATTGTTTGGTCATATTCTGTAAATAGCCACATTTAAAGAGCTCTTAAGTCTGAAGGGTTGTAATTCTGTCTCTTTTCCGAATCTCAGTTTCCCTCCTCTTTGACTTAGTTTGGAGATTTTACAATCCTTTAAGATCTTTATTACCTTATTTGTCTGAGCATAGAACATCCATAGTAAAGTCATTGTCAAAATATTTGTCCTAATTTCCTAAAGACCTGCATTGTCCCTTCTCTCTCTCCCCTTCTTTGTCTCCTAGTGTGGACAAGATGCATCTGATGTTAACAGAGCTCTGCTCCTCCTACAGTCTCTGCAGTGACTTTATTGTCTTTGACCACATCGTCGTTCCCACAGAGTTCCTCCTTTCTCATCTGGAGAAACGCCTCTCTGAGTATGCTGTCATTACATTTGTCTAAATAACTGTGGATGATATAATGGATCCTGAAGGTGTAGAAAAAGCAGTGAGTCTGTGAAGTGACAGTTGCAGATTTTTCTCTCTCTTCATGTGCACCTAAAGAGGATGTCACTTCAGCAGCTCTGTAAACAATTACTGCCAGAAATATGATAATTGCTGATATGAGTGCCTGCTTTCATCATGAAAGAAGCAAGCTGTCCGTGAAATATGGTTTTGTCTGCTAGTGTACAAAGACGCTGTGCAAGTGTAACTCTGCATATTAACATAATGCCATAATTTGCCTGTTTTGATTCTGCTGATGTTAAAACTAACTGACTGGAAACTTGCGTACATCCTATTCTGCAAGCTGTTATCCATGCCTAACAGAGACTGTGGAAATGTAAAATATGAAAAGTTGAACCACTTCAACCAGTATGTGACAATGCACTGGGAAAACCACCTCAAGCTGCATTTTCTCCAAATTGGCACTTATTTGGTGACATGCAGGCAGGTTTTTGTTCTCCAGAAAATTAGGGAATCATTTGGAGCTTGATTCTTGTGGAATATCTTCTCCATTTCTGTAATGAACTCTACTTTACTATCTGAGTTCCCTCATGTCAAGTTGTGCTGCGTCACTTAAAAATCTGCGCAGAGATCCATCATGTCACTCCCTTGCTCTGTGTCATTTCAGTGCTAACTGCTGTTTAGATTAGGGCCTTGGTGCCAGGGTAACCTAATGTTTCTGTGTATATGCTCTGTTTAGTCTCCCTGTCTTAGCTGATGATTATCTCCCCTGTCACCTTAAAATTAGCGACCTTGAGTAGCAGCGTGATCAGTCCTTCTGTGGCCAAAAACTGTAAATACAGTCATGGAGAAAAAAAAGTGAGAGAATGAAGGGTCCTAACAAAAATAAATACGCTCTCAGCAAAGCCCTGGAGCGGTGAATGTGCTGACCTAATGAGGGTAGGGCCAAGTCGCCATGGCTCGTTTCACCTGCTTTAAGGTCCCATCTGTCCACCCTCAGTCCACTTCAGCACAGTGACAAGTGACGTTGGTTCAACGTGTTTCTCCAGGATCATCGTGAGAATGGCAAATTACAACCAGACCACCCAGGAGATATCCCGCCCCTCTGACCTCCTGGCAGGGATAAGAGCCTACACAGCCAATCTGCACAGCCTCTCTAGCTACGTCAATGTGGACATCACCCGGCTGGTGAAGAGTGTCCTGCTGCAGCAAACACAGCCACTGGACTCCCATGGAGGCCAGACTGTCACTACAGTCTACACAAACTGGTGTGTGTGTGATATATAGATGTACCTACTGTGTGCTGCATGCAAATATTTATTTGAAACACATGTACCCAAGTATATATTGACTTACTGCCACATGTAGCATAAACGTCACACAGAAAAACCCACAGGAAGCACAACTGCACATGCATGTTGCACAACTTGCACTGTAGCACACAAAAGTACATCCTCCTGAACTTTCTCAGCTGTGTTTCTTACTTTCTCTTTGTCTCTCACCTCATGCTGTTTAAGCAAAAGTTACAGTTGCTGAGGAAATTATATCTTGTTTTGTATGTTTCTTTTCTGCATCTCAGGTTCCTGGAGAGTCTTTTGCGTCAGGCGAGCAACTCCCTCATCGTCCACTGTCCTACAATGCACTGCTTTGTCAGCCAGACTACTGACAACGAACCAACTTTCAGAGCTGAGGAGTTCTCAGATGTTGCAGGTCAGCCCTGGAGCTGGATTATCGTAATTTTGCCTGCAGCAAAAGTTGAAATGTTAAAAGTTAGAAGTGCTACTTTTTGCAAGTTTTTGTACTATCACTTCTATATTCACAAAAAAGTGGCACTGAAAGATATATGAGGCAAATCATACAAAAGCAGTACATACGGTAATGGTGAACTTACTCTTAGACCTTTAATGTGTGTTGCATTGTGGGATAAAGTAATTCACAACACATTTATCCGTGACATGCAGCCCTTAGTATCCATAGCAACAACTTCAACTTTTAAGAGGTTTTATTTTGAGCTTGTCCATGTTGTACACTAAGTCCCTGTTTTTAATCTGCAGCCATAATTATGAAGAATTTTAGACATGGGGGGTATAATCTAGAAGCAGATTACCTTTTTAGATTTGATGACATATAGCATTCATTTATTTATTTTAAAATGTGTCAGTAAGAGACATTTTACCTGTATTTTTTACGTTTGGCAAATAGATGTTTTTTTTCTCTTGACGGGTTTGAAAAGTTTCCCTGTTCCAAGAATTTTATTGATCACAAGGACACCGATCATGAGATGACTCACTCTTTTTAAATGACAACTTGTAGATCTTGTTCACTCGTATCACACATTGCATGCAGAGGGAGCGTTGTTGCTGTGAAGCTTGTCATTGTGATGGTGTGTGGCGTTTTTGTCCACACCACATGTCGTGCAATTTATTCTGACTCTGCCTGGCTAATGGGAACTGCAGTATTTGCTTATCATCTCCCCCACTCTTCCATCACTGCCTCATAGCTAATCCAGCATCACTTGTCTCTCCTCCACGCAGCCTCGTGGTCCACCTCCACACTACATCATAGGAGAAGTGGACTCCCTGTGACTATATTTAGGCTATGTTCACTCTAAGTCAAAAATGTCTCATGCGCACACAAGCAAACATGAACATTATACATACATTTATAAAGGAGGCCGTTGCACTTCAGTGGACGCCCTCACACAGTCTCATCATTATTGTCTATATTTACCCCAGAGTGAGGTATCTGCTTTCCTCATGGTGACTCACCTGCCCGTCCATTAACCGTTTCCAATTTTAGCCACCTGCGTCCTTGCATACGTATTCATTCACATGTCACGACAAGAGGTCTAGCAGCTGCAGTTGTCTCCGCTTCACTTATTCAGATACAATCACAAATTACATTTAATTATCTTTATCATCTGTTTCACTAGTAGAAAGTTAAGCTTTGTATTTGATTGCTGTGAAAACACCACGTTGTAAAGACATAATGCATCTTCACTCAAACTTTCTATTGTCAATTCGTGTAGACATGTCTTTATGTTAACCATGACCCTTAAATTATTCATGTCAACTTCTGAACAGAGTTACAGGCCCTGGCAGAGCTGCTTGGTCCATATGGCCTGAAGTTTCTGAGTGAGAACCTGATGTGGCACATCACCTCGCAAGTCAGCGAGCTGAAGGTACAGTGTGGTTTATTGGACTTGCTTGAAAGCTGTAAACTAGTTATTTGTAATATCTAGGTAAAGGTAAAGATTTTAACTAAGGTTAGTCCTTGTTTTCTCACCAGATAGCGTTCACATTATATAGTCAGATCTCTTGCATTAACTGTTTTGGCACTGAGTGTGACAGTCTAACTTCTGTAGCCCACAAATTAACATGCTACAGTGCGGTTATGACAGCCTTTGTATAGGGATGCAAAGGCAGAATTTAATACTAAAACACTATCTATTTACACAGTTCAGCTAATGCTGCAAATTTAAAAAGCTGTTTTCACAGAAATTCGACATTATACGTTTCAAATGGGGCTGCAAGGTGGCTCGGTGGTTAGCACCATCAGTGGTTTGTGTCCTGGTGAGGACACCAGGATCTTTCTGTGTGGAGTTTGCATGTTCTCTCCGTGCAGCGTGGGTTCTCTCTGGGTTCTCCAGCTTCCTCCCACACAGTCCAACAACATGTTGAGGTTAATTGGTGATTCTAAATTGTCCGTAGGTGTGAATGTGAGTGTGCTTGGTTGTCTGTCTCTAAGTGTGGCCCTGTGATAGACTGGTTACCTGTCCAGGGTGTCCCCTGCCTTCACCCTAAGTTGGCTGGGATAGGCTCCAGCCCCCCGCGACCCGAGTGAGGATTAAGCGGTGTATAGATAATGGATGGATGGATGGATGTTTCAAATGTATAACATTTTTAAAACAGCCTGTGTCAAAAAGTCACATCCAGGTCCAAATATATTACTTCTCTTGGCAAAGATGTAGTCATATCTGAGAGAGCAGTGCAGTCAAGTGAATAAATGTAAAATACGATGAATTTATTCACTTCCTCATATCATGGAAAAATGTTCGTCTAGCGGCAGTTTATGCATTAAACACCTTTTACCGCTGTACTGTGTCATGCTTCCTACTTTGACACTTATGATTGAAGCGAGGAATTGCAGAACATACTGCCAAACAGATGTGTCACAGCATTGACCTCCACATTGTAACTCTCAAATGTAGGTGGTTTTATCACCTATTTCACTTCTTTCTCTTCTGTTAGAAAATGGTGATTGAGAACATGGACATCCTGGTACAGATGAAGAACAACTTTGATAAGCCCGAGGAAATGTCCAATCTGAAAAGGAGGTTGACAGGTGAGAAGTAGAGAGGGAGGAGATGTGATGGAGAAGGTAAAGGGGCTGAAAAGAGTTGGAGAAAAAAAAGCAGATATGAGGAGGAGGATCTTATAAATAGCACAAGGTGAGAACAGCAACTATGAAACAGATTAGAGGAAGAACGATACCACGAACTGAAGGAGGAGTAATGTGGATAAATTAGCCTAAGCATAGACCACAATCCTTTTTGTTCTGATTGACTGACACGTACTGATCACGACTTTCACCCTCTAAAGAAAACATAGTGGGACCTTTCTTGAATCTTAAAAACAGGTGTGGACTGATTTGTTCATTTTGAAAGAAGCCATTTTGAGGAAATTGCATTAAGATGTTCAATTTAAGACAATCTGATGCAGTGCCAAGAGGAAACATCAGGTACTACAGACAGCAGCCAGGTGCCAGTGAATGGATAAATAAAAAAATACATCAGAGTATGAAATTCGGATAAATGCACCAGTACATTTACACAAGTACTGCACTGATGCATGCTGTTAGGTTCCGTTTTATGCTACTATGTGTTCAAATCCTCAAAATGTATGTGACTGCTGTATTTATGAGTTGCATTGCTGCTTAAGATCTGCATATAAAAACTATATTGCATGATTAGCATACAATATGATGTATTGTTGTTCAGTTTAGATCCACCTCTGCTAACGACAAGAGAAAAAAAATGCATCAATCCATCAATGCAATGATAATCCAGTAATACTTTAGGTATATTCTGATAATAGTGGTTAACAGTAAGAGTTTAAATGCAGGATTTTTACCTGAGTATTTTTAAAAAAATCACTATGTAAGGCTTTTTCCACCACATGGTTTTGCTATTCCAACACGCTACATGTCTACAGCTATTCTTCAGGCTGTAATCACAAAACTCATCTCAGGTCTAATAAAAATCATATGATAATGTATGATCTTGTGCCTCAGCCACCTTTCCCAGAGTGGCGTTCTCCTCCTTGCAGAAGCCAAAAGTTAATTAAGTGCAAATAACCAGTTGAGCTGACAAACCCTTAACAATTTGTTATTATCATTAATGGCACAGTTGTGTTCATTACAACAGCAATTTGTTTCACATTCACCCACAGTGTAATATTTGGGGACATTACACTGTAAGAGCGACTGCGGTTTCATTTCATGCTTAAGTGTATATTATACAGACGATAGGAACATAGGTGTTAAGCTCAGATTTGTTCCATATGTACCTGTAGGTGGGGAGAATGTGCTGAAGAGGATGACCATCATCGGTGTGATCCTGTCCTTCAGATCCATGGCACAGAACTGTCTGAAAGATGTAATGTCCAAGATTTTTGATAAAACCTTTATAATGAAACTTTATATAATGTGGTGTAGATATGAAAGACATGTGGATATGATATTATCTAAAGTCCTTGACTTGACATATAAAGGTCTTTCCTTTGTTACGGATGATCTCAATGATATTGTGTTGTATAATTCTGTAATGTAGGTCCTGCAAAAGCATTGCCCATACCTGATGGGGCCCATCGAGTGCCTGAGAGACCTCATTTCTCCCGAAGCTGACATTAAGGTAAAGCACAGCTGTTCTCCCACTTCGAGGGAGCGACACTGTAAAAAAGGCATCCATATGTTAGAATCCCATTGATAAATAAACGTTCGGTCAACAGGTTTCCACTGTGCATGAATCACATCACAGTTTACCAACAGTGTCTCCACAGTTTGTTTTCACTGAGTTACCTTATTGTGGGAAAATTTATATTGAAGGTCAGTCATTGTCCCGACATTCATTCAAATGTATGTTTACCTTTTGAGATGGAAAAGGTTGGGGAGGTGATGAACTGTTGTCAGAGGCTAAGCATGCAGAATATAGCATGTGTATGTGTGGCAGAAGTGAATTTCTTTAAATAATAGACAGAAAGCAATGGTAAATTTAAGCTGGGGAGCTTCAGAGAAACTGCATTATGTTTTTTTTGTTCTTTAGTACCAACCAAATTAAATTCCTCATCTCCCTCTGGGGTAATCTGTGTGACTCTGACTCATGAACTCTCCCTCCCTTCACTGACGTCTGGCCTCTGAGTGCGGCATGACAGCCGTGCCACAGCCCGGGCCAGGATAACCCCAAAGACGTCAGCAGCCCCCTCGTGCCTCCGTGAGAGAGAGTCTGATCGCTGCTGCAGCTCTGCACTCTGAACCACATTAGTGGAAACATTCTGCCCAGACAGGCCAACCATGCATGTAACCAGAAATAGGGCAAGATCAAAAGCCGAGTGTCAAGACAAAGACACCCACCACTGGCTTAGTGTTGCTCCAGAAAGTATATACTGTGTCACTTCTGTTGCTGCCATATGAAATGCAGAGCACAGATGAGCATCCTGCTGGCCATTTCTCTGAAGTGTGGGCAGCACTGTAACATGCAAGAAGCGTTAAATTTGAACCTCAGTGGGATAGTCATTAAAAATGTATGTGCAGATTCAAGAAAAACCTGAGGAGAAACCAAAGCTAGCACCTTATTGCAGTTGTATGCCTCTGCTAAGCAGTCAAGATGCGTTTTACATCCATGTTTATTGTGACTTGACCTTTGACCTTTTTGGATTTAGAACGTCATCACTTCATCAGATATTTGTGTGACATTATGTCAAAATTTAGTGTATGAAATAAGAGTTATGATCAAAAATGTGTTTTGGAAAGTCGTAGTAACCTTGATATTTGACCAGCAAAGTCTAATCAGTTCATCCTTGAGTGCAAGTGAACGTTTGACCACATTTCACCACATATCAATAAATACCGTCCAGGGTGCCCCTATAGCTCATCTAGTTGAGTGGGCGAACTATGAACAGGGGCTATAGTTCCCCGATGCAGCAGCCGTGGGTTCGACTCTTGTTCACGACCCTTTGCTGCAGGTCTATCCCCATTCTTCTCCCCCCTTTCCTGTCTATCGCTACTGCTCTCACATAAGGGCAAAGGCCCAAAAAATCTGTTTTAAAAAATTCCTGTCGTAGATTGGCACAGAGGCACTGACACACAATCTGAGAACACAATGCCTCTGGCCTCAGCTATCACAGCTGTGGGGGTACTGAGAGGGAAAACTGCTTGCAAAAGGGTTAAATGCACTTCATGCCAGAATTTTTTTTAACCTCATTGATGCTGAAGCTTTAAACTGGTTATTTTAAATGCACTTTCCTTAATGCTTTATGACCTTGCAGGTAACTATGAGTGTTTTTGAGCTGGCATCTGCTGCAGGCCTGCCATGTGATATTGATCCTGCCCTTGTTACAGCTATTGGCAGTATGCAGACAGGTAACACTGAAACTACAAAACATGCTGTGCTTTAACTGTTTACTAGCCAGAATTAGAGAGTGTTCTTTTATTTATTTTTAACTTGTTGCTACCTTGCAGATAACACATCCATTGATGAGGAGCACAAGCTGTCCTGTTTGTTGCTAGTCTACATTGCTGTGTCCCTGCCTATCTTGGCCCTGGACCCCAACTCGTACTACAGCCGAGAGCATGGAGGTGCATATTCATTCATTCATTTCAGCATGCTTGACAGTAATTATTCTCCAGGCAGCTCTCAAACAAATACTAATCACTTGTTCTTCCAGCCATTATTACCAGCTGCTGATGATGTATAAAAAAAGACACTCCACCCAGGAACATGAGGCTTATTAGCATCTCTGTGTATCATACTTTCCAGTCTGACATGGTCCGAAGCAAAGCACGTTGGTTAATGAGAAACACGTTTCTGCTGAGAGACTTTTGTTTACAGATAACTCCGGCTGACGTGCATTGATACAGTTACTCTTGGCATGTGGCCTTGCTGACCCTAACTGCTTGGCTATACGCCTAGACTGAAACATTAAGAGCAGTAAATAGCTCAGATTTCTATCAAAGCACAAAGTGGCATTTTGTCATAGACTATTTTCCTTGTCTCAATTTTCCATTGACATATTTTAAATAAATCTATCCAGTGACCCTGCGGGAACATGCTCAGCATGCTTCCTCTTAAGCGTTACAGATCATTAGGTAAATTTCTCCAATCATTCGGCTACAAAAACATCCTCTTTGTGGCTCAATTACAGGACATGCTATTCTATTTTTCCATAATGTCTTTTGTATTGTCATTTTCTTAGGCCACAACAACAACATCCACTGCTTAGCGACGGCTATCAACCAGCTGGCTGCTGCCATGTTCACCGTGCAGAACAAGAACATAGAGCAGCAGCTCAAAGACTTTCTCTTGGTGAGTGGAAAACATGTTGTTATGGTGCAGAAACTTTAAAGAGATTAGATGAGGTTGGAAACAAAGAAAGAAATGTTCATTGTAAATACGATTTGCAAATTTATTAAAATACACTGCTATAATAGAATTACAGTATTTAAAATCATGCAAAAAATAAAAAAAAATGTATTACTGCTTTTACATGGCTAAATGTAAGAGCTCACAAAAAGTGAAAAACAATGCATTTAGACATATTATAGCTAAAGTTGAAGCATTACGTCGCTAACATTTGCTATACTTTTTTATGTGGAATTAATGTGAAAAACTATTCAAGTGAATAAGCCTGAGAAGGGAAAATCACTCAACTGAACAGTGCATTCCTCATAGACCTGAACCCTAGTGAAAGCTGTAATTTAGTTTCACAGGAAACACAGGTGAGTTTCATGATTGCGGTATAATGCAGAGACTTTTATTGAAGCCACCAAATGTAAAAGACAGATGTCAAAGGACAAATGGTTTCTTGGACACACAACTCTGACAATATTTTAGTTGAAGAGCTTTCTCAAGACACTGCCAACCTTTTGGCCTCGTTCAGGTCAAGTCCAGCAGTGTGAAAACGTTCCAGTTGTTTGATTTTCTTCTCTTTTAAACTTCCTGTCACTCTGCAGCTGGCCTCCTCTGCTCTGCTTCAATTGGGACAAAATGTTGATAAAGTGGAGAGCAAAAACAGAGAGTCCGTCTACCTGCTCCTACACATGGTAGGTACATAGGGATTCATTTGCTTTAAAATCGCAATAAGGAATTTGTGGGATTATGACTTGACTAATGGAAAACCCTATGACCTTTAATTAACTGAGTTTTTTTCTCTTTACAATAACCCATCAGACCTGCAGTGTCTTCTAGAATGGCTTACTGCTTATCTCTGAAGCACTAATGAATGAACAATGAACAATAAATTTATTACAGACAATTTAAAAATGCTTTATAGTGATTATGCATTAAAAAAAAAAAGTGGTTCTACAATTTAAAATGGATGGTGAGGGTTTTTGCCACAAATAAAATGAACGTTAGAAGGTAGATTTTTAGTGTTTGGATAACCAGAAAATTGCAGCTATAACGAAAGTAATATAACTTAATCATATATATATGTGGTTTAGTCTTCTGTATTGCTGTGGTAAAAAAATAAAAATAGATCAGTGAGCCTCACTGGAAAATGTGATTCTTCACGACAATGAACACAGGAACTTTAATTTATTTTCAGTAAGTCTCACACATATCGTCCTAGCGGTGAAAAAGCTCAAATTCCCCAAAAAAACACAACATTGTCCTATTTTTAGCAACATTTGTTAAAATCTTCACTGTACAGCCATCTTAAAATGACTTTTTAAAAGTGAAATAAAGATTTGTAGCTTTAGCAGGAGCAAAGTCACTTATGGGTCCTGATCTTTTCATGTTAACAATAACAAAAACTCCTGTGTTCACTCTTGTGTTAATGCTGATTCATCTAGATTGTGGAGGAGTCTCCGTTCTTGAGCCAAGACATGCTGGAGAGCTGCTTCCCGTATGTTCTCCTCCGAAACGCCTACAGGGAAGTGTACAGGTCCTTTGTTGTCACTCTGGGCTGAAGACTTTTTTGGATGCTTTAAATTTAACTGGTATTTATCCCAAGTATTTCAGTGTGCATACATGCTTTGCTTTCATTACCACTCAGCCTGTGATTCATACAGGTCTTGAGCTAGAACATGGCCGTGGATATTTTGATCACAGTTCATGTTGACTCTTGTGAGTCACAACTCTGTTTGTACCCACTTTAAAAATCCTCCTCCCTCATTTTACGTGATCTAGATTTGCTGTCATGGTGCATAATTATAATGTAGATTCACAACTGTTGTAGTTTTACTAATGCCAGCTTTAATGATTCTGATTGTAGCAGTAGGTCATGAGGAAGCAGCAGAGAGGAGGCAGTAGAGAGCAGAGGAGACAGCAGAGGACAGAGAAGAAGCAGCAGAGACCAATCAGAAAGACACAGAGACTGATTAATACAGGTGTGGCTCTAGGAGTCACACTCTCTTGATCCTTTGTGTCCACATGGACTGTTGACTCTGCTCGTGGTAAGATAGACTTTTGTGGTTTTTAGCATTGTTTTAGAGTAGCATTTTATTGTTAGGGTAATGTAGGGGTGCATGCGTGCACCCTGAGGTACCTGTATTTTAATGATTTTTAATTGTGGGTCTCATTTGTTTGTAGGACCGAAGCCTACAAACTAACAGTGCTTCTTTGTTTTTTAGGTACAGCACTGACTGCCGTTTATTTTAGTTAGTATTTTATCTTTTAGCCAGATTGATTTAATTGTTTTATTGTTTTAATTATAGGATTTTAATTGTTTTAGAATTTTAACATTCTGTCTTCTTTTGTTCTTAGTGTTGCGGCTGGTGGGGTCCTCCATTCACCGGTGTGGTTGAGACGCTGGGAGTTCACTTTAGTTGGTGATATGGTTTGCGGTTGCACATTGTATTAGTTTGGTGTTTTCATTTGAAGTGTGATGGATTTGTATTTCTTTTGTATATTTAGTTCCTCCCAGTGTCCTAGGCAGTGAGTGGTTGGTCTCCCAGCCGTGATATGACTGTCTGTCCTCTCTTCCTTCATACTGTGTTCTTTTAGAATTTTATTTGTATAATAAATGGCAGATTGACCCACATTGACCGTTGTGGCCTCATTAATTGAAGCCCCTGTGTGTTGACCAATCCTCAAGGTTACATAATGAACAGATCAAGTAGATTCTGTAAAATCTCACTCATACTCTTCATATATGTCATGTTTTTAAGTATTTTTAGTATTAAGCCACAACCAGCACTGAATAGATTATTGTATGAACAATTGGTGTGTAACATTATTTCTTGCCATCTTAACCAAATAAAAACTATAATATGTTTGTTTTTTTCTTTTTGGCTGTATTCAACATGTGTTCCTTGTCTATTTCCAGTCTTCTCTCCACCCTCACTACCCTCCTATCTCTCCTCCTCATCCCCTTCATATTTCATGTACAATTTAAATGATGCACTCCAGCTTTACAGAGCCAAAAGTGCTCTTTGCTAATTTTAGGTGGCCCTATCATGATTATATTTTGCAGCCAGCACTGTCCTTGTATTCCTTCCCTTTTTCCTTTCTTTTCTGTCTCCTCCCTTCCCATTCAACCCGCACTGAAGCCACACTGCTCAAAAAAATAAAGCAAACACTAAAATAACACATCCTAGATCTCAATGAACTAAATGTTCTGGTTGAAAAACTTTATTCATTACATAGCAGAATGCGTTGAGAACAAAATAACATAAAAAATGAAGTGGAAATCACATCACAGGCTGATCCAACTTCAGTGGAAATTCCTCAAGACAAGTCAAAATGAGGCTCAGTGTATGTGGCGTCCACCTGCCTGTATGACCTTCCCACAATGCCTAGGCATGCTCCTGATGAGTCAGCGGATGTTCTCCTGAGGGATCTCCTCCCAGACCTGGATTAAAGCATCAGTCAACTCCTGGACAGTCTGTGGTGAGACGTGGCGTTGGTGGATGGGACAAGACATGATGTCCCAGATGTGCTCAATTGGATTCAGGTCTGGGGAACGGACAGGCCGGTCCATAGCATCAATGTTTTCATCAACAGGAACTGCTGACACACTTCAGCCACATGAGGCCTAGCACTGTCATGCATCAGAAGGAACCCAGGGCCCACTGTACCAGTATATGGTCTCACAATGGGTCTGAGGATCTCATCCTGGTACCTAATGGCAGTCAGGGTACCTCTGGCTAGCCCATGGAGGGCTGTGCGGCCCTCCAAAGAAATGCCTCCCCACACCATTACTGACCCACCACCAAACTGGTCATACTGGAGGATGCTGCAGGCAGCAGAATGTTCTCCACGGCGTCTCCAGACTCTGTCACATGTGCTCAGTGTGAACCTGCTCTCATCCATGAAGAGCTCAGGGCACCAATGGCCAATCTGCCAATCTTGGTGTTCTCTGGCAAATGCCAGTCACCCTGCACGGTGCTGGGCTGTAAGCACAAGCCCCACTGGTGGACGTGGGGCCCTCAGACCACCCTCATGGAGTCTGTTTCTGACAGTTTGAGCAGAAACATGCATATTGGTGGCCTGCTGGAGGCCATTTTGCAGCTCTGGCAGTGCTCATCCTGGTCCTCCTGCACAAAGGAGGAGGTAAAGGGGCCTGCTGCCTGGTTGTTGCCTCCTACAGCCCCCTCCACGTCTCCTGATGTACTGGCCTGTCTCCTGGTTTATCCTTCATGCTCTGGACACTGAGAGACACAGCAAACCTTCTGGCCACAGCTCACATTGATGTGCCGTCCTGGATGAGCTGCACTACCTGAGCTACTTGTGTGGGTTGTAGACACGCCTAATGCTACCTCTAGGGCTGAGAGCACTGACAAAATGAGAAAGTGGCCAAAATATGGCCAGAAAGGATGAGAACAGAGACATGATCTGTCAAACCACTCCTTTATAGGGGTTGTCTTGGTAACTGCCTCTCATTTCCACTTGTTGTCTGTTCCGTCTGCACAACAGCAGGTGAAACTGATTCACCATCAGTGTTGCTTCCTAACTGGACAGGTTGATTTCACACAAGTGTGATTGACTTGGAGTCACATTGTGTTGTTTAGGTGTTCCCTTTATTTTTTTGAGCAGTGTATTTCCGTTACGTTGCCACACTGGAGATATGGATGCTTACTTTCATTTGTCTACAGTTTGTGCACGTGTGTGTGTGTTTGTGTGTGTGTGTGTGTGTACGTTTGTGTGTGTGTGTGTGTGTGTGTGCGTGCGTGCGTGCGTGCGTGCAAAGTGTATTTAGGGTTTCACCATCTGAGGCCAAGGGACCCAGCCTTCTCACAAGAGCACAAAAGGTTTAATTCCCACAACAGGCAACATTTACACATTCATGAATAAACAAATGGCAGATCCTGAAAACAGCACATTACTGAAAAACAATGCAAAATCATAAACAAGAATAAACAGCAAGAGTGAGTCAGTGTTTGTTGTGTGCATGTAAAAGTCACTGAGCACAATATATAAGAAGCTCTAGAGAGATATAATTATATAATGTGCAATTTAGACACACACACACACACACACACACACTCTCATCTTTCCTATCACATTTTCATATTTTGCACATCCAGGGAATAGCCATGTATCACTCAAGAGGTTTTCTTTTCTCATTCTTATTTCATCATACTTTCCATTAGGCACCTAGCAGCACTGCCAGCTGCCTCTTTTTGTGAGATCTTTAATGTGTTTTTCATTTCTTATACTGTTAAAGATTTAATGGAGATTCTTCCTTTCCTGCTTGGTGCTCTCATCCCTTATGGTTGAACCACTGGTTTAATGTTGAGAAAAAGTGCAGTTTTCCTCTGAAATGCAGCTGAATAGGTGGTGATACGTAAACCTCAAAATCTGAATTAAAGTATTGAGTTAATTTGCACTAAAGTAAAGTAAACTATTACATGCTTTTATTTTGTCAAGCCAAGTAATATTTAAATGATATTACTGATTAATCAGAATGATATTCAGTAATAATCTTGGTAAAATGTAATTTTTGCCTGATAAGTCTTTGCATGCAAATAAAGTGTCCCTGTGCAGCTCCACAGTGGATCCTGTCCCGAGACCCTGAGGACGGTTAATGGTGGAAACTCTGGTCCTGATATAAAGACTCTCTGCTGATTGTGTTGGTGACGCAGAGTCTCTGCTGCTGACTGGTGGAACACTGAGGATTACACACACACACACACACACACACACACGCGCGCGCACTGTACTTCTTGTACACACTGCAAACTACAGTATACACACAGAGAGGGGAAAGATCTACATACATCTGTAAATTTAAACACAGAGTAAACTATTGCAGCTATGCACTCACTCAAACAATCACACAAGCACTGACAAACACACACATGCACGTAGTCTTCAGTCGCGTTACAAGCCAGGGATCATGACACCGACGTGTAAGATACACAGAGCAGCTGATAGAAATCTCAGTCTTGTGATACAGACCACCACACTGGAACGGTAAGTTTAATAATTTCTATAAACTATTAATGTTTTTCTTACAACACACTTTTTGCAGGAAGTTACTTATAACATAAAACAGCCTTTTTTTTTGGAGTAGAGAGACTTGGACAGTGGCACTGTGTGGTTGTTGGACCACAAAGTTGGAGGTGATTTGTTTTGTTTATGCAATGTTTTGTGTAATGAAGTAATGTTGTTGTTGTGTTGTTTTTATTGCATACAGACATTTAACATGAGCCCACTAATGTACAGAATTTAAAATAATATCTTTTCACATTCATCTTATGTGATCTTAAAGGGTTTGTTCTGCCCAATGAAAAGAAGAAAAAAACAAAAAAAAAGAAAGATTTTCTCACACAGGTCTACATACATTAATGGGCTCATTGTTTCCTTAAGTGTTACGTATATACTTTTAAACGGAGACAGTGCAAGAAGGCGTAAACTTAGAATCTAGTGCATCGCATTAATTAAAATAAATAGAGTTAGTAAACACAAATTCTAAAGAACATTTTCTCATTAGCTTATGTTGCCATCAATCCAAACACATTTTTGGTTTTATAGGCCCTAGGTTTACTGTATTACTAACTAAGATTAAACACAAAGTAGAAATGAGCTGGATGATGCTATTAGTTTGGCAGGAATTTGGTTGTAAACCCAAGTATTGGACAGATTAGAAAAAAAAAAAGTGGGGCTCATAAAAGTTTGTGTGATGATATTTCCAATAATTGTTCAAGATACCTCTGTCTGACCCAATGTGGTGAACCCATTGGCCTCCCAATAGACATAAAGCAAAGATGGCTAAAATTCAGTTGAAACACATACTTTTAAAAGATAACATATTTTTTGATCCCATGAAAGCTGTCATTGGATATTATTTATTTGAGATTTCTGTGAAAAGATACTGCATGACATTTGGGCAAAATAAACCCAAAGCTATCTGTACTGATAAATGTCATAGCAAGAAACTGAGAATATAGGCTTTCTGTCATTTGGTTGAACTGGCCCTTTAATCAAACCCACTTTGTTCACTAGGTCTGAGGATCATCCAAGGGAACCTTAGACCTTTTCTCCACTGTGTTCAGCCAGAAGCCTTTAATTGATTCTACCGTCGTAAAACAGAAGTAATGACTCTCCGTGCCCCTCAGCCCCCTCAGCGTCTCAAACATCTAGTTCCCATGCAGAGACACATAACATTTAGATGTGATTTATGGTGCCACAAAGTCAGATTTCTCCCTCTGAAGTGTGGAGTCAGTGAGTAATAATTGGCTCAGGTCAGTGGATGGACACAAACAGATCAGAGGGTGTATTTTCGTCATCAACAGAGGGAAACTGTGATAATGACAGATGAATGGAGGAAAAACATAAAGCACTAGATTAGAGTGTAACGCGAGAGGCTGGCAAGCACACAAAGGGAAATTACTTAAGAGTTTTTAAATGATTATGAGTGATGCTGGATGAATTACTCCTCTGCAGTCTGTAATTTACATCTTCAATCGACATCACAGCATCAATGTGACTGCAAGTCTGTTCTCTGGTATTTATTTTATTTATTTTTTTTACATGTTAATCCTTTTTTTTCAGTAGCTAACAGAGACACAGGAGACAGAGAATCATATGTCGCAATGTTACATCTCTTCATTTTTGCAATATGTCGTGCCATGTCAAAGAGCATGGGAGCATGAGAGTCAGTCTGACCCAGCAGCCGAAGCAGGACAACCAAGCAGGGAGACGGACAGGAGGCAGGGGTTTTCCCAAGCCACGTTGTCGTGCTGCTCTCACAATACTCTATAAATAAGGACTACTAATGGATTTAGGACCTAGAACTGTAAAAGTGTTTAGGACTGATTTTTACTGGTTCCTCTGACCTTTTGGTTTTGTGTGCTGCCCTTTTATGGTGTCTCAATGGACAGAAAGTTGCCTTCTTTTAGCCAGACTTGGTCTCACTAAACACTCAGCTGACAGTTATTCATGTGGCATTTCAGTCAAGAGATACAGCCTCTGTTGTTGAAGTTGACTGTCAATTTGATTTTAAATATTTTTGAACCTCTGCATTAATTGAAGGTCATGAAATTTTGTGCGTGAACTTGGTTATTTAGAGAATCAATATTACTTTCCAGGGTGACTCTTGTGGTCATTTTCTGGATCAATAACAACAGTTAACCTATTGCGCTGTTGTGGATGGCTTTCGAGGACAAGTTTTGTTTGTGTATTTTGGTTCGGGTGCCTCTGGTGGGATTCAGTGAAAGACTCTCTGTGTAGGTCCCTGATTTGCGGCTGCGGTGGAAAATTCTCATTTGGGATTTGAGTACACACGGCTTGAAAGCTTTGCAGTCAACACTTCATCAGTGAGTGAGGTCAACTCTCTCACACTTCACACAACGAGTGTACACATATACACAAACACCCACTGACTGACAAAGGCACTCACAGCAGCTCTCTCTCTCACACACACGCACACACACGTGCACACACTGACACAATTTGGGCCTGCCCAACCAATCAGAGTGAAGTGGAGTAGGTCCCCCTAGAAGTGGGTGGGGGAGCTGTTGAAACAGAAGTCTGTCTCAGGACACACAAAGTTTGCGTTGGTGATTTGGAGAACTTTTATACTTACTACTTCCTTGCACAAACTTATGTTTTTCACCTTCTTCATTTTTTTTTATTGAACTCTGGGGTCCATTAGAGCACAACTTGAGTTTGGAATGGCTGAACTGGTTCGAATCCGTAAGAAAAGGCTGCAGATTCCCATCTCTAGGTAAGACAGGGGGTTCACATTACATTAGATTGAGTTAACTACACATTCAGCCTCTCTGGAGGACTTTACCCATCTTTTGTATCAACATTATTAATTAACTGTTTGGTGCAGCAATGTTGTACTTCTCTGTGGAAGTAGATTTCTTGTTTAGCAGAAGTGGAAAAATATGACTCAAAAATACACGGCGGGCTAGACGGCAATGGTTTGACACCTTTTATAGTTGCAGATCTTGATCACTGCGAAAGCAAAAAATGAGAGCCTCAGCAAGTATACAATTAAGAAAAAACTGCAGTAAACCATTAACATTTCACCAATATGACTATACTTAGCAGCATGTGAGAAAACACTTGTCACTCTTTGTGTGTGTGTGTGTGTGTAAAACATTGTCTTAGCCATGCTTTTGCTGTGGGAGGGAAATGTGATGCAGAGGTGATGGGTCATGTGGTTTTGTTTTGATTACCAGATTAATATATTCGTGTCTATGGACTTCAGAGCTTATTGCTTGAAGCCTTGGTGAGATTTCACATCACATTTAACAGCTTACAGGTTATTACATTTTTATGGTAATGTGGAATCTGATCTGATGTGATTTTAAGTTTTTGTTTCGACCTTTGCTTAGAATTTTCTTTTTAGATTTGTGATGACAAAGCTGATGCCACTTAGCCGTCTACACTGATGTACAGATGTATAGTTAGTGAGGATAACACTATGCAGTGTGTAGATTCAACAAAGCCTCAGCCAAAGGAGGATTTGTCATCTTTCTCTATAAACAAAGTTTCACGAGTGCACTTGACGAGTAATTTCCTGTAAACGTCCTGTCACAGGCTCTTCTACAGCAAACAGTTGAAACAAAAAAGACCGCGTTATCATGAAAGATTACTTGAGATTGAAAGTGAGCGGTGGCATTCAGATGCATGCTATTTTTGTGACTCAACAGCTTTTGAAAGCCCTTGCCAGTGTGATAAACACTTGAAAAGCTGTGAGCGTCTCATCCCCATGAGTTGGCTCCATGGCGTGACCTCACGCAGTTCGAACACACTCATTCTAGTCACCATATGGGCAGCACACCAAATTGTTTTACAGGAACTAACCCTGGAACAAATATGTTATATCAAATAAATCTCTTTTTAAACAGACAGAGAGAAGACAAAATCAAATCAAAGTAGAAAGATTCCATTACAAGCTGGGTAAGATTTTCTGTTTTCTTTTTTTTTTATCACTGCCGTATTAGGCAATGAAAGCTTTTGGATTCATTCTTGAGATGAGATTACATTAACACACAGCAGGTGGGTTACACTGTAGGTGACACATGCCTCGAGCATTTGCTTCTTATTACACTGCAGGAGACGAACGTGTTTCCAGCAGTGTTCTATCGTAATTTGATTAAAAGTTTCAAGGATGAGCAACATGTTCTGAGAAAACATCAGAATGTCGCCAGCAATTCAAAACTCAAAAACATAATTTTTATAGAGTGTGTTTTGACAAAATGTGGGTTACATAAGACCCTAACTATGTGAAGTTTTACTCTCATGGAACATTTGGCATTAATGATGCCCTTTTGCCAGTGGCTTTCTCTGGACAGCTTGGCATTTCTAATTGAACTCCTTCTGCTCTTGAAGATTTCCTAACCTCTTGCTGAAGCACTTCTCAGACTTTGTCTCATTCAGTCAAGACAATGACAAGTGCCATCAATTTATAATGCCTTGCTCAAAGAGCTCGTTCAAGTTTATTTGTAAAGCACAATATCATACAAACCAGCTCAAAGTGCTTTACTGAGAGACAGAACACAGAGAATCAGCCACACAAAGCTCACATTTTTGTTCTAAATGGCCTTTCATCTGTATCTCCAACTTTTATTGCTGTTCCTGTTGGGATTTAATGCCTCCAACCATTTTTCCTCTCAGTGATTTGCTGTTGGTTGCTGTGAGGTGACACAGCTTTCCAGCACATTCAAAAAGAGAATCGACCTTTTTTATTTTGTTCTGCATCACATCCTAAGAAATGATTGCTTTTCTTTTCAGGCTGCGGAGCATGCTGAAGCAGCTGGAGGAAAAAGATGTTGATTTTGAAGAAATCAAAAAAAATCTCGATTTCACTGCGTCATTACTGGAGGCAGTATACCTCGATGGAACAAGGTAAAATAACAACAACAGGATTTTGAGAGAATACGCACGTGTTCATGTTTTTGCTTCATTCTTTAAACAGTTATCAGCATGCATAGGTCAATGACTATATTTGGTCTCAGCAGTCAGAGCAAGGCAAAAAAGATATTATTTTGTTTTCAAATGTAGTATAAGAAATGTGTTCCCTGAAAAATAAACATAATTGCTCACAGTTTCTATTGGCCTTCTACTACCATACCCCTGAATATTAGTGTTACACAACAGGTGCTAAATAGATCTGAGAAATTTGAAGCATGCAACACAATTGTTATGCAAAGACAATGCCCCAGGACACAAATGGTGCAATGAACCCTAATGACTAATATAACATGTTGAGGGATTTCACACACTGCACTGTGACCACAGAAGAGCTTGCAACTTCCTCAAAGATCTAGGGTGACATTTTAAGAAAACTTTTTTTTGACAAAGGCTTCGATGAGAGGATTGATAACACTCTCAAGTCTATACAGGAAATATTCAACTCAATTCACTTCAGATTTTTAAAAAATATAGATATCCACGTCAGCATTTGTATGTACGGAAAGAAGTTTAGCGCAATTTTATGATACATTGTATAATGACAATAAATCTGACTCTGATTCTGCACATGTCATCTCAGGGTACGTTGCATAGCCATGTCAAGACCTTGCAGTAGTGTAAAGAGAAACCCAACAAGTTCCTCTTGAGCAAGTGCTCTGTGACAGTGGGGAAGAAAATGAGGAAGAAACCTCCAGCAGAAGCAGAGTCAGGGTGGACAGCTGTCTGCCTCAACGGGGTGGGAGGAAGTTACAACATACAGTTAGCTTAGTTTAGCACAAAGGCAGGAAACAGGTATAAACCTAACACTGTGTACGTCTTATGGGTAATGCATACAATATGCTACAGAACTCTTTTGACGTACAGTACGTGCGTTCAAATCACATGGGAGCAACAGCTGAATATCATCTGCAATTGGAGCTATTTCTTGTAAGAAGATGTTTCTTTGCCTTTATTGGAGTATGGCCGGTGTCTCTGCTGTCCTGACTTCAGTTGAGTTCTTGTTTCACCACTGTGACTAAGATGAGCAACCACAAGAACGATGGGATGGCTAAATGTCTATAGGTAGGGGGTTTGCATGACTTTAAAACTGTTTCCTTCTTTGTCCTTCCGGCCAGCAATAGAGTTCTGAACTTGTCACAAGCAGCAACAGGTAGCCACTCTGAACGAAGAAGTTGTGTGGGAAAATTTATGAAAGGTTGAATACCAGGTGGACAGCAGCTTTCTGGATTAGCTGCAGACAGCTGATAGCAGACACAAGAGCTCAGGCGAGGAGGCAGTTGCAATAGTCCAGGCAGGAGATGACAAGCACTTGGATGAGCACCAGGGCTGCAAGCAGCAATGCCTACCTGCACCTGAGTGTCAGGTCGGTGAAATGAAAGGAACAGTTTGGTGTCATAAGCATAGCGACTATGTGAGTGTATGACAGTGGCATGCATCCTTGTGTAGTGGCAGAAAAAGGAGAGGACCCTGGCCTGGACAGAGCATGTGGGACTTGTGTTGTCAGCTTGTGAGGCTCAGACACAGATCTTCTTCACGCCACCTGGTACGAGTGCAGAGCCTGAGGCAACCAATCCTGTAATGGTGGAGAGGAGGATCTAGTGGTTAGCTGTGTTATATCATGTTTTATGGCACTTTGTGTGTTTTTTCTGTGCTGATTTTTAGCTGGGAACAGAAATGTCCTGGAGCCTCTACTGGTTGTGTTTGGACAGAAGCAGGCTAGCTATTTTCAGTCTTTCTTGCTAAGCGAAGCTAAACAGCTGCTGGCAATAGTTATATTTCAAACAGACAGACATGAGAGTGATTCTTTAATTTAACTCTCCACCTTGAGAAATAAGAGTATTTAAAAATATATCAAAAACTAGTGCTTTCAAGATGTTTCCTTTTGTTCACTTTAGTTAAGCTGTACATATATTACCTGTGCTTTTCAATGATCAATTTTTGATATTATTCCTATTTCTCAGCCTTTCAACACTTAACTCCAGTGATACCAGAGCATTATGAAACATATTCCTCAGACCAAGTCTTATAAACTCTGCTGCTTTCACCCTGTCCTCATTTGTGGCTCCGTTTCTTTATACTGTCCAACAATCACTGTCTCTCACAGGCAGTGTCTGGAGTCTGAGGATGACCTTCAGCAGCTGCAATCAGACGGCGTGCCGTCAGAGGTCACTGATTGGCTGGCGTCCACCTTCACCCAGAGGATTCGACGCCCTGTGCGACGCTCAGATGAGAAGCCCAAGTTTCGCAGCATTGTGCATGCAGTGCAAGCTGGAATATTTGTGGAGAGGTATACCAGCAGAAATGTACATTTTATTTCTATTTCAGCAATTTAAGGTTGTGATTTTTGTTTGTGAAAGCCTGCACGAGTCCACCTGGATGTTGCAGTAACAATGCAGCTGTTGCAGCAGTTGAGGTATATGTTGTATTTCAGACACAAATGAACATAAAATGAGAAAATAATCTCATACAATAAAACTCCCATTGTAAATGACTGATTTCCTTGTTTGTACTATAACTCTAATATAAGCTCATACAGTGTTGTTACTGTTACACCCACAGAAAACACAGACAGCTACACTGGCCTGTGAAATATTAGCCTCCTTTTCTCTTTAAAACATCCTTCCAAAGCAGTCAGAGACTTTAGAGGATTTATATAAACAGCTCCTGAGTCGAGTTTGCTGCACAGTATCAACATCTGAACTCTAACTGAACTCAGCATAAACATTGTAGGATGTTCAAGAGGGCCTACACAGCAGCCATGCCAGATCAACCTGCAGCGGTCGTAAACTGCCTTCGGGTAAGTCTCCACTAATCATCAATCACAAAATACGTTGCGTGTTTGTTTAATAAATCAGACATCACAAAAAGGATAATTTGCACAGCCCAAGCATGCATTAGTAATGCTGTCACTTTGCTTTCATTCTCTTCAGGATATTGATCGCTGGAGCTTTGACGTGTTTGCTTTGAACTTGGCCAGCTCTGATCACGTACTACAGACTCTGTTCTTTGAGCTGATCACCAGATATGAGCTCAACAGCCGTTTTAAGGTTTTTTAACTTTCTGTTTCATTGTATAGTACATATATTTCACTTTCCATGCAATATGTTATCGTAGTCCTGCAAGACTGTGTGAACTTCAAATGAAACCTCTCACCGTAACACAATCATTACTGGCCTTGTCGAGTGAACTTTTGTGGGGAATGTGTATTGTAATTTGCAGATATAATCGAGCATATGGGTTTTGTTACCCCTTTGTGGTGTTTGAAGGCATAATTGGTTGCAAAATCACGTGTACAAATCACATGCATCATACTGCAGTCAGTCTCAAACTTACTACAGCATTCCAGTTTTTTTAGCTTTTGTTGTTGACACAAACTTTATGAACCTTTGGCATTTCAACTTAACCTCGCTTTTAGTGATTATGTAATGCTTTTTGCAGATCCCCATCTCGTGCCTGACAGAATTTCTCTCTGCACTGGAGAGAGGATACTGCAAATACAACAACCCCTACCACAACCACGTTCATGCTGCTGATGTGACTCAGACACTGCATTGCCTGCTGCTGCGCTCTGGACTCGTGGTACACTGAACTCACTTGAATACTCTACCTATGGATCGACTGCTTCATCCTATTTTTTATTTATTTATTTATTTTAATTGTAGGGCTGGTGTTATAGCTTATCTTTCTCACTGTCAGCAAATTCCATGGAAAATGCAAGACAAATGCCCCATTTGGTCTGGCTAAACACAAATCTAAAAAAAAAAAACAAATCACAAAAGTATGATCTATGTGCAAAAAGGGAAAATATTTAACAAAACATCTGGGCTCTGTCATTGTAGTAAGCCATTGCTCAACAGCTACAGGAGTCCATTTACACCAGTGTATTACAGCACATTTAGTCAGTTACACACACACCACACAGTATTATGTTTGGGCTCGTTTATGTATTTTAGGCCATGCTGGTGGCATGAGTTCATATGAACCACAATAGGGTTGGAATTTCAGTTAGTTTTTTGGTTGAGACTAAATACTTGCAAAAACATACACAATCCCATCGGCCTCAGCTGTACTTTGTGTTTTAAGCGAGAAAGCAAAAGCTAACATGCTAAGACATCAAACTAAGATGGTAAAATACCAGCAAACATTAATGCTGAAGAGCTGGACGTACATATAAATGAATATCTGTTCCATTTAACCCTTTGTCAAATGAATAAAAATAATGCGGATAAGTAAGCAGTTGTAGCAACAGACATGGTTTAGGCAACATGTGGCTTGTGGTGCTTGTCAGCGCTAATGGCTCAAAAACCATGATGAGACAAACAAACAAAACCTTTTTTGTTTCTTTACTTCAGAATATCTTTACGTTGTGAACAAAACAAGAAATTTGAGGAGGTCATCTTTTTCTTTATGAAACACAATGTGACATTTTTTTTTAGACAAAAGAGCTAATTGATAATTGAGAAAATAATTGTGAGAGTAATCAACAAGGAAAATAACCGTTTGTAACAACCCAAATTAGCATTTGTCGTCGTATGTCAGCATGTTGACATTTAGCTCAAAGTCCAGTTGTACCACAGCTAGGCCTCAAAAAACCACAAATATTTATTGGTCACAAACACAGTTATACACCGTATAACATGCAGTGAAATGCTTTGAAGACAAGACAAGTTACTGCAATCATTTGTAAAAATAGGGCAAAAATATTGTTAGTGTAGGTCTACAGTTTGTTGGCAATAAGAAAAATATACGCAGCCTTTCCGTTAAATGTAAGAGGGTTACAGTTTTAACACACAGCTGCTTGTCTCTGAGCAGAATGTGTCAGTTGAAGTCATCATTTGGAGATGTTACTTCTTTTTATATAAGCAAAATTGTCTATTTGCATGTTACGGTACTAACAAAGTCTGATGTTTTACACAGTATAGACTATTTAAAACATGCTGTTGTCATTTTATGTATATGCACCCTGCTACATTGATAATATCTGTTTATTTGTTTGTTTGTTTCCATAAAGCACTGGCTGACGGAGCTTGAAGTGATGGCGTCGCTATTTGCTGCAGCCATCCATGACTACGAACACACCGGAACCACAAACAACTTTCACATCCACACAAAGTAAGCTTTATTTCTGCAGCCTGCTTTTTAAACCTTGTCTCACATGTTTAAAGCAATTGCTATATATACAACACATCCTGTTGTGAAATTTGAAAAATAGCAAGTGATATCAGAAAATGTAGAAATAGTAAGGTGGTGTTTCTTAAAGGCCTTTGAGCAGTTTTAAAAAGAGAGTTTGGAGAGCACTCTAAAGCAAACATGTCTTCATGGAGGGAACACAGTATTTTTAGATTTTCCACATAGGAGGGCTGAAGAACGCAGTCTCTTGGCACCCATCATCATCATCATGCTTTATTTTGGGAATAAAGTACAAAGATGCTGGTCCACAGCATCTATCTAAACGGCATCTATCTTAAAGTCATATTCCGCCCAAAATATATCTTCTGAGTGTCAAACACTCCCCTCCTGTAGGCTTAGAAGACTAGGTGTTGTTGTTGTTCTTGCTTTTATGAAGAACACTGACTGTGGTTTGGTTGAATTTATGCTGTTTACAGTTTGTTCGACTTATGATACATTTTCACAATGGAAAAAAGCATCACAACCCTCTCCTGCCACAAAAGGCACTTTTTCTCTGTCAACTTGTATCGTCCAAGCTCTGACCAAAACATTTCAAAATGCTTCTTTTTTTGTGTTAAATTCAGACCAGTTGAAAGTTGGTTCAGTCCCATTAAATTAACTACAATTAACTGATAATATATATGTTTTAGTCAGGATGCACCAGATTTGCAGAACTTGCAAAATGTAAAATATAGCTAAAGGCATAATTGAAATTTAGCAACAATAAAGAGTTTACATTTCTGGTGACGATAATAATGAAACAAATATGTTCTTATTTTTTAAATAAAGCAGTTCTAAGGACTGTTTACATTCAACATAAATAACTACTACAGCAATCTGGATCTGACTGGAATGCTCACGTTTGAAATACGTGGGACTAAGTTGACAACATAAGAAAAGGCAGCAGCAGTGGCAGTTTAATTATCTTACTGACAGTTAACAGCTGTCTGTCATAGGAAAATGTTCTGAGCATGGCTAAGGCCATATTGACACCTCATATACAGTGTACATACTGTAAATGTGTCATAAAAATAGCATAGAGGCCATCAAAGTTCTGAAACATCATATGTACTTATTTTTTATTTAGTCCATAATTTTAATTAGTTAACTGTTGGAAAGCAATGTGCGCTCCGTTGGTGGACAGAAAGATATTTTTAAAACCTCAGAATTTAAGGGCACCAAGCACACTACAATAATTTTAATTGAAATATAAGTCCAAATCAATACCGAACGTATACCAAGGACCATTACAAAAAATAATAATGATTTTAAAAAATCCACAGATGTGTTTATTGGATTTCTTTTTCACAATTAGAATCCACAATGACCAATGTGTAATAAAGCTGGCTTGGGCTACTAAAACAACAAACATTTAAGACAAAAGACAACGCCAGCACACAACTGAATGTTACCTCTGAAGCCACACAAGACTTTTATTTAATGTTTTGTTTCTTTGTAATCAGTCGAATGGAGATGATTATGCAAATGACTGGACAATGGATGCCTGATTGAGAAATCAGTTAATTATCTTGTTATAGTGAGTCATTAATATCCACATGGTATCAGTTTTAACACATCCCACTCTGTCTTCAGCACTTATAAATTCATCATTGCAGATCTGCGGTCACAGAGCTTAAACTGCTCCCTGAGGACTCCCCTTTCTATCTCATTCTCACCTCCTCCACCCCAAATAACCATTGTATTAGACTACACCTTTATGCTCATGCACACTTTACCACCTACACTCTCTCTGTCTTCTGTCTGCCCTAATTTCTTCCCTGGCTCCCTGTTTGTCTTGCAGGTCAGACTTTGCATTGATCTACAATGACAGGTCGGTACAAGAGAGCCATCACCTGAGTGCAGCATTCCGCCTCCTGCAGGACGATCAAATGAACATCTTTATCAATTTGACACGAGAGGAATGGACGTAAGATGACTAGTATAACTACCATCTCAACATTTTTTATCAGTTTAATGTGATTTTAAACTTGACAGAGAAAAGTACTAAAACATACTATAAATAAAAGATACTATAGCTAAAGAGTAAAAACTTTAACTGAACTTTTTTTTTCATCAGTGATCAGACATTAGCAGGAAGAAACAAATAGATGATAGAGGAAGCAGAAACAGTAACTCTTCTTCATCAGCAGCATTATTAATAGACCAGCATGTCATGCAGTGCCAACCCAGTACGTTGCATTTTGAACCTGGAACTCTTTTACTCTTACCACCAACATGACTTCATAGCTGAAAGTAACAAGTTCCTGGCTGCTCTCTGTTTGTCAAAAGGTACTGTGAAAATCATTTCCTGAAATGGAAAGAGTTGAAAACATTTCAAAAGAGTTCAGCAAATAACACAAGCAACATTTTACTGCAGTGAGAAAAAAAGCACAAAAAACAAACAACCCCAGAACCAAGAATGCTTGACAATAAAGAAGATGGTCGGTTTTTCTTAAAATGAGAAATGTTGAGTGTTACAGTACTGTTTGTCTGACAACTGTCTAATTTCAATACCACTTTTGTTATGAACATATGGGGTTAGTGAAAAGGGACAAAGTCTAATTCAGTTATTTTCTGTTCAGCATGACATGAAAACATATTTTCTATGGTCAACAAATCCCATAATGAGGGCCAAATGTAGGAAAAAGAAAAATGCTACAAACATACATTGTAGGTTTAGTTATTGTTTAATATAATAGCAACATAATTTTGTGCTATCGGCTGCTACTGTTTTCTAAAATCTTTCAGAAATCATTGCCAATTTGTTTGTTTTTTTGAGTTAATCCAGTAAACACTGTCCAGCTGTTATCCTGTAAATAATCAGGAGACCTGAGCTGTGCATTAATCTGAAGCTGAAAATATTCCCAGAACAAATGAATTGCTCATGTCTGACAGAGTAACCTTTGCTTCAAACTGCACAGTCTGTCTGTTTTAGGAAGCTTTAAAACAATCTCCTTTTGTGACATGTTTTTTAAAAGATTTCCACCTTCAGTTGTAAAAGATAGATTTGGGGCTGAGTGTGATGAACAGGGAGAGTCAGAAAGTATCAAGAGACAGACTAACATGTTGTTGGTTTTGGACTTGGGCTGTGTTGACATTAGAGAAAATATCAAAAACATCAGCCATATTCTGCAAAATAAACAAAATTATTTTAGCACACAATATTGTAGAGGGCTATTGGAGCTTTTGTTTCCACCATTACTTTATGGAAAAAGTGACAGATGTGGAAACATATTGATACTATGAGAAGACCCCATGAGGGCAATTATCTTCTCAGCATGACCTGGCTGTTAGTGAGATTTACAGTCGCTCCTCTGGCTGACCCTGACCTCTGACCTCCTGACATAAAATTTCTCCTGCAAGAATCAATAAAAGATTGTGTTACTCTTACTGCTAAGTGACTCATTCACTAACCAGCAGTGGGATAGTGAATGAGTCACATATGCTTCCTCTGGCTGCAGAATCTTAACTCAGATGTGCAGCAGATGAGCTTAAATTCTCAGACTTTGCAGTAATGGTGAGACACAGAATTTACATAAACAATAAAAAGTTCAAGTCAACTGCGGCTGATGGATATTGACTGTGATGTTAAACTAATTTCATGGCAGATGCATTCTTGTCAGTGTAAACAATCTATGTCTACAGAGGAGTACAGTTTGTGATGAGAAAATATTTATACTGTATA